AATGATAATATATTCTCCGTGACAAGTGAAAATATGCCTTATGAATGTCTTCAACTTTGTGTAAGCGGAGACTCGCGTATCGATTGCAAAATTCGATTATAAAATAAGCAATATATCGAATATTGCACGAGTTAACATATATATTTGACAAAAGTTATTACAATCTAGAATACGTATACGGTTAAACAGGATCATCTTTTATCGGATTTATCTAATAATTAGGCCAGATTATAACTTCGTTCCTCTTGCAGAAAGAACAAATATTTTGTATACTTTCTCGATTGATGCATTCCTTGTAAAATTTCGGATTGATCGATGACAGAGAGCTTGTTAAACAATGAAAAATGATTTCTATTAATTTATATTAATTATTCAAAATATTATTTCTAATTATTTCTATTAATTATTTCAAAATTATATCTGCAACAGAAACAAAACTATATTTCAGTCCAATTATTAGATATACTTTGAATGCAAATACAATTTTTTATCTAGATTACGAATGACAACGTTTACAACAAATCATATATGACTTTTGATGCAAACTAAAAGTTTTACTTTACTATACAATTAACACAAAAAACTGTAACAAAAATGAAAAATAGAATAATAATATATAATAATAATAATAATAATAATAATAATAATAATAGAAAAGAAGCATAATTAGAGAGATTAGCCTTGTTGTAAAGAAATAACGAAAGGTAGAAGAGAAAAGAAGCGCCATACCACCACCACATCCACTGAACGACCTACGAAGAAATCGTCGTCCAATATGCTATATTATTGCCATTAGAAAAGTATTGAGAAACAATGAGAAAGAAAAAGAAAAAGAAACATTAAAAAGTGATGGTTATATGCTAGACTATATAGATATGTACTAAGTAGTCGACGAACTTATTATATTTATACGTCCTATTATATTAATCAACGATTAAAATTGAGAATGGAAAGTAAAACGAAGCGACAGAACCAACCAATCGAGCGAAGTGGAAGAAAGTGTAATAGCATATGCATAATAAGTGTATATATGTATAGCACAAGATATGTATATATATATATATATATATATATTACATATAAATAACTAGGAAAAATCTAGAAGAATGTCTCTTATGCCAGCGTTATTTTGCACACTACGGCACTAACGCAACAATTACGAAGAAGAAATTACGAAAAGAACGGATTGACGAAAACTGACCTTTGGCCAGTTTCGAGTCCTCGGTCGGTGATTTAAATTCAATTCGAGGAGGAGAACTGTTGGAAACCGTGCGTCTGTCTCGTCTTCCATGCTTCCTTAAGTCGGTTATCGAACTTTTCCTCGAATCCGGGACGACATCTTTTCTCGAAGCTCGACATTGCGTTTAATTATGGCAGAAGATTATTTTCCTCGACCCTTCAGTCTCTTGGTATTTTCCCTTCTTATTTATTTTTCTTCTACTATCTTCTTTCGACAATCGTCATTATTATCGTTTAGCCGTAATAACATTTAGTCTCTTTAATCGATCGATTTTGTTCTATCGAAATTCTATTATATTCTTTTTTATTCTATTCTCCGTTTATGCGCGAGACTTTTTCCTTCAAAAAAAATCAAACCACAGAGATAAAGGAAGAGTTATTGGAACGCATTATTAATAATGGCCGTCCAGTTCGGTGAGATTAAATATCTAATTATATTTATAAAGAAGAAGAAGAAGAAGAAGAAGAAAAAAAAATCCTTCCACTCGCGTATCCGCTTCCCCGCTAATTACCGAAATATGAACACTATCGTAACTAAAATTCATTAATTCTAAACGCAGATCTCCTGGTACAAAATCAATCGATGATGTTTTCGCTCATAATACTCGTCAGGACGTTTAACCCACTCCGAGGTTAACCTAACATTTCCCTTAGACGTTCTCGTCGACGAATAATCTTGTCTCTCTCTCCTGTTAGCCTTACTCTGCCTTTCTCTAACCTTCTTTTTGGATTCCAATTCGTCGTTTAAGGTAACGACCGAATCTATCGGCTCGTTCTCCTCCAAAGTCGCGGCAACTTGCGAGACCCTTCTTCTTCTTCTTCTTCTTCTTATTCTTCTTTCTTCTTCTTCTTCATCTTCTTCTTCTACGTGCTCATCGTTTTCATTTTTCTCAGAGGCACCGTCAACTTCGTCGAAATCATTTTCATTTTCTTTGGCCTCCCTTGCTACTTCCTCGACCACTTCCCCCGTACAATTTTGAATAACTTCGACCTGAAAATTCGGAAAGATGTTTCATTAAATAGTTTCAATCTTTAACGAATTAACATGTTCGCGGACGTGAATGTTTTAGCATTTAAATTTGGAAGCCAATTATTTTGAATTTTATTTTATATTGTATAACCTTGAGCTTGTATAATTATTATACCTTCAAAAGTAATGACTAACTGATTCTTTAATATATGATAATCTGAGTGCCCTTATAAAATGTAAAATAATATAACTGTCCGCGAACGTGTTAACGAATTAATATGTTATAGGAAAAATGGGACTTATCTTATGTAGCAACAGACACACACACATAACATACTACACCCAATTCTGTTTTTACACGATTTTGATTTAACACGACTGACCCTACGTCTAAGAAGTAAATTTTGCTTTATTTTTATTTTTATAACTTCGACATTGGAGACGAGGAATGAATTTTGCGTAAAAGTCAATAAATGCAATTAAAAAAGTTACGACAAAATACGAGTATAGTGGCATGACAGTCCCAAAAACCTGCTGTATGCTCGCTTTTATGTGCGCGTGTGCTTGTCTGTGCCCGATAAGTCCGTAAGAATTCTTCTATTTCCTAGGTTGCCTAAAAACGCCTGACATTGTATGCAATGCCAAGGAAAAACTCACAACGTCGGAGGTCCGATTTTTCCTATAACAAATACAATAATACAAAGGAGAGTATAATACTCCGAAAAGGTAGTATGTCGTACCATAACATGACGTGTTTCCGGTGCGATCCATTGCTCGGGTTGTTCCGTTTTCTCGGTAATCTCGCGTATTCGGCAACGTGGACAACAATAATCCTCAGTTGATTCAATAACAGCAGTCGTTTGAACTTCTTTCGAACGGCTAAATATTTCCTCCATTATTTCGATCGTAACGCTTTCTTCTTTGTTACGTTCTTCCTTTGTTTCTTGTCTTGGCTCGTCGTAACTTTTCAAAACTTGACAGTCGCATTGTTTATTATCGTTATCCATTTTCTCGTGTTCATCATCATCACGAATAAGAATCCTTCTATCGTTGCTTCTACTTCTGCTCCTATTCTCAATGAGTTCCTCGACGTTATGTAATTTATTCTCAAGCCAGTAAACCCTTTCGGTTAGCCTGTAATTTTCATCAAGCAATTCTTCCTCCCTTTGCTTAGTCACCCGTCTCTCCTCCGTTTGCCTTTCTTCAGCCTCTTCGTAAGCCTCTAATCTATCTTCCAGATCTCTTATGCGATCTTGATAGGAGGACAATTGAACGATAGAATCGACGTCTGTGTCAAGTGCCGGACAAGCTTTAGGTGTATCGATCGAACATATCGTAGCTGTGTTTGTTACTTTGGCTGCACGTTCTTGAATCCGTGCACGAAGTTCTTGAAGACGTTGAACCTCTTGAAGAAGCTCACCGGAAGGTATCTCCGTTTGGGTTCCTCGACTCGCTAGTTCGACTTCTAAGTCCTCTTCATCCTCCTCTTCGAAGATACCGCTTTCTTGTAGAGACAATGGCGGTTTTCGTGGTACAGGGGAAATCGTACGTGTCGTTGTATTGTAATTATTGTTGTTTGTATATGGAATCACTGTAGCCACAGCACGATTTCTTTGCTTGCTTATTACTTGATCCTGCAATCAATCGTAAATATTTTGTGCGTGTGTGTGTGTGTACGTGTACAAAGTGTAAATATTATAAAAGATTCTGACTCTTAATCGTTATATCAATACTTTAATGGCCGCTCGCGCGTCTACGCAGTCAAATGTTGTTTTTTAATTTAAACAAAATTTTATTATTTTCCCTTTGTCCGATAATAATAATAATATTAATTTGATAGCATCAAACACATGTCGTGTGAACGGCCATTAAAATGTTAACAATTTTTAATAAATTATAGCGAAATAAAAACCCTTTCTATATATATATCTGTCTTAGGAGCAAAAAGGGAGACTTTCTTTTTTATTTTTACCTTGCTCGGATGTAATAGTTCCGGCGAGACAATGCCGCTATCAGCCGTGTGATCAGGATTCTCTTTACGAGCGGGTGATTCTTCCAGTTCGAGAAGTCTGAATTCTAAAAGTTCGTTTTGTTCTCTCAACTCGGACAATTCCACCAGGAGATTAGCTTCTCGTTCTTCAGTTGCTCGCAACTTCTCGTTCAGTTCTTCCAGTTGTTTATTACGATTGCTGCATCTTGTCTATTTATTAAAAAAAAAAAGAAAAGAAAGGAAAAAACAAACGAATATTCTTATTAATATTCTTAGCAAATTCACGAATACGTCCACTCTGAGCAAAAGAAGGATGATATCTAACGCTCTATTTGCTTGTAAAGTTTTTCAAGGATTTCTCAACAACTCAGATATCATTCAGCTTTTTTCCTTCACATCGATGTTTATAATACTTGGTATGCCTATCCATAATTGGATTAATAGAACCTCCCTAATCATTTAATCCCTTCCATCAACTCATTGATCCTTTCAACCAATCCATATCCATATCTTCCATTAAATTTTGTCTAAATTCACTATAGAGTAGTATAACTTACATTAGTTACTTTTAGTCGTAATTATTGCAACTTAATATATACTATTTGATTTAATTCTTCATAAATTTCTTGTAAATATATTTATATATTATTTTAATTAATTGTAAAAATTTCTCTGTATATATTATTTATTTATTTTTCTATCAATCTTTATTTCTTGTTATTTTCTAGTTATTGTTTTTTCTTCTTTTTTTTATGTAACAATAATGGGTTAATCCCATCAATGCACAAATAAAAAAATATAAAAGAGGAATTTACTGATAAAAAAAACAATCTTCACCTCCTGCAAAAGAGCTTTTTCAAGATCGAGAACTTCGGTCTTAGCACGAGACAATTCCTGACGTTCGTCTAACAGTTTCGATTGGAGTTCCTCGATTTCGATGAGAACAGCTTCGTAGGCTTCTCGGGTGACACCTGACCCCTGCCATTGTCCACAACCACCTGGCTGAGGAGAGAGGGATGATGGTGCACTAGAAAGGGCACTGTCACCTTCCTCGTGATCCTCTTCATCGTCGACCTCGGCCACTGGCTCGAGCTCCAACCATTGCCTATAGAATTCCTCTTTCCTTTTCTTGTTCGACAGCTGCTCGAGCTTTCGTTCCTTTTCCTTTTTCCCATGCACGAAGGACAGACACCGTTATTGTTACGTACGTAAGGGAACGGGCACACAATGATTATATAAACGAGAGAGACCTAGCTAACTAATGAGTATTCATCAATTTACAAGATTTCATTACCTTGACCGTCTGCCTAAGTATCTCGATGACTTCTTGTTGTTCGAGTGCAAGCTCACGGAGGCGCTCGACCTCGATTTCCTCTATGGCTCTGTCGCACCCAACTTCGCGAATGTACGTACCCAACTGTAATTTGTTCATACAAAAGCGTTAACAATTGCTTTTGAAATCCATACGACAGGATTTCTCTTTTCCAATTGATAAAGGATACGTATAAATCATTAGTTGCTAATGTTACAGTATCGTTAGTTACAAATGACCATCGATATGTACAATTGCGTATGCGTGAATTTATTATAAATTCAAAAAGAAAACAAATAGAGGAAATGCGTTTGACTTTAGAAATCGTCTTGTTACATAAAAGCATGTAATTATAATTATGATTATGTCGCAGCTGTGTAATGTAATTATCGAGCTATCAAATAACACGACTTACGGTATGATCCTCCACGAGGAATTTCTTCTCTCCACGAGACGTCGACCGAATCGGTCCGTTTTTCTCGCTGTCCTGTAACTTCCGCATCTGCAATAAAACCCGAAGAACTATTATTAACTTCTGTCTACCGTGTATTTACCTACGAGCAAATAAACGAACCTCCTCCTTCCCAGCGCGAATTAATGGCAATAAAATAAGAAAAGATCGTCGATAACTAGAGCACGTCGTTGTGGGACTAGAAAACTGAATTCATTTAATTCCACCAAAGGGAAACTAACGATAAAACTTCAACGAGTCTTCGATATATTTATTAACATTTTTTCTTTCTATTAAGTTAAGCTTCAGTACTTTTCTTTTTCATATAATAATAAATCACGTTAATTACTACAGGTAATGAATACATCGTTTTTATTATAGTTAATCATTATTAAAAATCCCTCAATGAGTTTTATTAAATTATTTCGAGAGACGTAGGATAAAAAATAAGTTATGCAAATGATTGTCGTCGAGAAGAAAAGTACAGAAAGTGTCGTACTTAAGTGTTGTACTTTCTCGCTTGCATATAGTAGCAACCGCCACGTTTTTTAACACGCCTTTCAGGCAACGCTATGGCTAAACGAAAAGTAAAAAGAAAGAAAGAATCTGTATACTGTAAAAGGTGAAAGAAAACGATTTTTTTGTTGTCGTTCGCGAAACGTTCCCGTCATCCTTCCTTTCGTTGTCGTTTTCGAGGTGCAACCAAATGTCATGAAACTCGACAAGAAAGATTCCCGCGTAGAAAAAGGATAAGGAAGTAATACAGTGAGAAAGAGAAAGTGAGAAAAAAGATAAGAAGAACACACGGTCATTGTCAGAATAATATGATGATGGAAAGGAGAGTAGTCGATAGATCGCATTCGAACATTCGTATGGGGAAAGTGCGGATGAGAGAGTTACGAAACGAGCACGGATCCGGTCATCGAGCTGCGTTACGTTTTCATTATTACTTCTTTCCTCGGTTATCAATCTTGATTCTACTCGTTATATCTTTCATAGAGATCAAAAGAAACGATCGCAGAACGAACTAATGATCATTCTTTTCGATTACATTTTTTTTCATTTTATAATCAATTTTTCCATTTATATATCCGTGAAAGATAATGTTAATTATTAATGAAAGATTTATTTGTTTTTACAAATTATTCCTTTCTTTTCTAGTCACATTGAAATGTTAATAAGAATTAGATAAGAGACACGTTTTATCCGATCGACAAACCGGCACCGATCGAAACCCCCCCATGGCTTCGATTAGCGAAAGTGATCGAGTACGCTTGCCAGATGTTGCCTTTATATCTGAGTAGGTGTATGTAGATGTACTCGCGTACGTTTTAATAATACTTACTTGCATTAGTCAAATCTCTAACTTCGATGATGATCGATCATAGATACTATATGCGAGTTTTAAAAAAAGAAAAAAGAAAAGAAAAAAAAAACTTCTTTTAACGAGCTTTCCGATGATTTAGCGTTACTCTTGGGAAATCAACTTTCGACTCGTCAAGAAGAAATTATTGAAAAAGCAGAAATCTTCGGTGTGACACCTATTCTTTATCGTTTGTAAAGAAATAAACGAACGAATGAATGAACGAACGAACGGTTTTACTTTTACCGGAACTTTTAACCTTTATGCGACAATAAAAATTTGACTTGGGCCAGTAAAAAAAACATATATAAACATTTTATTATATTCATTACAAAGAATGTGAACGTTCACGTGATGGTTAAAAGAGAAATTTACGTATCTTCGATTATGATAATCGTACAATTTTAAACAAGAACTCTATTCAGGTAATGAACTTTGATCCTGCAATCAATACGTTCCTTTGCTTCTTTCCTTTTTTTTTCTTTTTTTTTTTTTGCTTTCTCCGTAATAAAACGAAACCCAGGAAATAACCCACATAATGAATCTTACTAAAGATAGTTTACATTATAACGTTTTTTATTTATATCTAATGATTCTCGACGCGAGAATAAATAGGAATATATCAAATGTAGATAAGTACTATTTAACTGTTATTCATACGTTATGGAATAAGAAATAAATTGGATAGACGGGTAATTACCAGCATTAATGATCAATTCTATTGTTCGTTGATCACTAAAATGATACGTACTTGACTACTCTTCGATCATGCGATTGTTGAATAATAGAATGAGATCTAGATAGAAGGAGTTATTGAAAATTAAATGAGAAATCAAAATGAACGAGAACAGTTAGATTTATGGAAAATCTATATATATGTATATCCTATTCAAACACGAGAGAGAAATGATAATTGAAAAACATTATTACACTGCAAATGAGGAAACGTGTATAAAATATTAATTTAATATAAATGAAAAGATCTCTGAGATGTGAATTATAATTCGATTAGAACGAGGATGAACAATTCGAGATGGTTGTGTGTATTGAAAACGAGGTAAAAGTTTCACGTATCAAGGAAGATGCTGCAAGAAGTATCACAAACGTATAAGGTGCCGCATCGTATCATCTTGGAAGGACCGTTAGGTTGGCCCCCTAACACAGAGAATGAGAGAGAGAAGCAAACATAACCAGCCAGCCAGTCAGCCAGCCAGTCAGCCAGCCAACTCGACCGAATGAACGAACGCCTCTCGCCTTCGTTATCCTTATCGACTTGCATACATTCTTTGTATATCGATAAGAAATGATAGAAAGGGAGAGAGAAAGGGAAGACCGATTAGAAGAAAAATTATAAATCCTAATCAATTGTTTGTTTATCACACGTCGAAAAATAAAATGATTAATAAATGTATCAGAGAGAGAAGTTGGGGGCAAGGTAAAAAATAAATCAGAACATTATATTTTCATCTTGTCAAACGTTTCGTCCATTTGTATAAAATATCAAAATATCAAATAAAATCCCTTGCATAATATCCCTATATTATATAAAAATGATTTATATATGCTTAGTGTAGTTTATTATTAAAAATCTAATAATGTATGTCTTTTTAATACATAGAAAACTCTGAACATTGATGATCGAGATAATTTTTAATATCTATTTATTAAATGTTTTGATGAATAATGTATTTTTAAAATTATGTAATATATTTTATAGTTGCTGAAGAAGTCTCAATGAACGGGACGAAACGTTCAACAAGATCAAAACATAACGTTCTGATTTATTTTTTTACCTTGTCCAATTTCCCTGTGATACACACACACACACACACACATGTATTAATATAAATCCTAATATTTTATCGATTATTTTTTAAAAATTGAACTACAGGGGTGAAATTGAACTAAAAGACGGTTTCGAAATACATAAATGGCATATATAAAAGAGTCTTTTTCCCTTTCCGATTGTCCCTTTTGTCAAAGAGAGAAAGAGAGAGAGTCGAATACACCTTGCATGCACTTGGCGCGTTATGCACTTTGCGCTATATACACAGGTATGTAAATGTCTGTTGGCCCGTCTCGTTTCGAGACACACACGTGCCCACACAATCCAAACTCGTTTCTCTTTGCGCTCGTTAAATGCCACGTTTCCCCAGGGTTTTACTTCAAAAGCACGAGTTCATAGAGACACACATTTTTTTACACACATACACACACACACATATGCCATACATACATATATATATATATATATATATATATATATACTATTTAAATATTATAATTTATTCGAAAGACGATTAATACAAATCATTTATTAATAGGTTGACAATTTTTTCACGTGTCTTTTATTTTTTATTTTTTAATATAAAACGTAGATCTAACAGAAAAATACAAATTGATGTATCATATTTTTGCGGACTACACACACACACACACACACACACAATTTCGCTATGTTTGGTTTCGACACGAACGTGCCCTCACGATTCGAACTTGTTTTATTATGGTGGTGCAAGATGCACCACCACGTTCTACCAGTTGTGTTTCAAAACGTGCTTCGCAGCGTATCTATGTATCGTTACGCGATATTTGATGATAATTTTTTAATACAAAACGCTCATATTGTATCTATGAAAGAAAATTTGTTGTTGTTAATAATTATTATAAATAATAGTATTTCCAATATGGCTAATGTAAATGTGATAAGTTTAAAGAAGGAAGATTTAAAAGTACACAAGTGGACGATTTCACATCGGTGTAACATTATATTGCTATTTGAAAGGACACTTGCAGAAGATAACAGAAGTTGTAATGCGCTTTCTTCTTATCTCGTCGTTGAGTAACATACAACGATGTGTCCAGCATTTACAAGCTGGCTATCGAATGCAAACACATACAAGATATTTATTTTTTTCCATATATATATATTTACATATTTGCCCATACACATACACACACGCACACACACCATATACCTCTAACTAAATATATAAGAACAAGATGGGTTCGAGAGACGGAAGTTGGTCTTTCAATGAAGAAAGAACATCGATCGACAACTCCGGCGATTTCTCTTCTCGACGTGCGAGTTTCTACGAAATCTTTTCGCAAGCGATACCTTCTTCAACGTTTATGCGCATAAGTAAACGGTAAATCAATCTCTCTCTCTCTCTTTTTTTTTCTTTTTTTAGAAAAGACAACCTGTATCCTTTCTTCTATTCACGATCGGAAGCATGTTTCTCGTCGTTTGTTGTCGCCAATGCTTTTTTCGCAGAACCCGATCATCTTTCGGTTTTCTTCTTCGAGGTTTTATCGTTTTCTTATCGTTAACGTTCCCTCGAAAATCGTATCTTTCGAATTGAAAAAAAGCCGGGGACCAATGGACTGAAATGATTCCCATGATATCCGGTCGGTGCGTTATTTTTTTTTTTCTTCCCTGGAAATTGCTTCTGGTAATTTCATTCATCACCAGCACACGTGCTATTTCAATCGGTATGATTCAATTCATAGATGATTAATGACGAGAGAGAAGAATATGTAAATATATCTATGCCTCAGGAATCGTGTACGCTTTCGATTCTTATTATTCTAATTTTTTTAATACGAAGTGAACGCGTGGGCGTTACGCGCGCGTATGGATCTTCAAATTCTTTTTTCTTTTTCTTTCTTCTTTTTTTTCTAAAAGTAT